AGTGTTGACGTGAGTTTATAACTTATGTACGTATTAATGAGGAAATAAATTTAAAATAAAGAATTAGCATTGTAACCAAAACATAATCAAACACGATCATAACATAAGACAAAAGAACAACACATTGAGAAACGGTAAGAATTTGTATTGCATTTGCTTATAATTTGTGTAGACTTATTATAATTTGTATACCCTTGCAGGGTATTATAATTTCAGTCAGAAGTTTGCAACGCAGTAAAGGAGGCACCTCCGACCATATAAAGTATATTCTTGATCAGGATCAACAGCCGAGTCGATCTAGCCCTGTCCGTCTGTCCTTCTGTCCATCTTTCCGTTCTTTACGCAAACTAGTCTCTCAGTTTTGAAGCTATCTGAATGAAACTTTGTAGTTAGTCTAATATTAACTCTCACTCGGATCACTAAGCAAGAAATACATAGAGAAGTCAAACAGTACAAAAAAGTACTATCATAAAAACGGCTGAGTATGGAACCCCAGAGCACCCGAACGAAGTTCGAGTTCGAAGCATTCGTTCGAAACCGAGCACAACAAGAATTCACTTTTCACTTATCCCATAAGAGCGATCGAGAAATTAATACAATTAAAAATTATAACTTTTTTAGTTTTCAACAGATTTTCATCAAATTTAAGGTATAACCATTTTATATAAGTCTTAAATTTGGTGTCAAATTTAATGAAAATCAGACGACTATTTTATATTGGTGCCATACAAACGATCGTTTGATGTAGAGGAAAAATTCAAAGTAAAATTGCAAATATAATATGTATAGGTGAATGAAATGAAAGCAGGTATTACTTCATTATTTTTAACACAAATATGTATAATTTATTTGTATGGATTCCTAGTCATAGAAGTTCTATCTGCAAGGGTATATAAACTTCGGCGTGCCGAAGTTACCTCCCAATCTTGTTATTTTACTAGTTTGGTCACGCTAGACGCGGAGGCCGGGGCGAAGCTGGAGTACGCGAATATCGGACGGAGCCTTTCCAGGGCAGGGTCCCAACCGGACGCAGCCTTATGCAACTCAAAGACATTTCGTTAATAGCATTGCTTAAGGAAAAGAAATTAAAAAAAATGTCTGCCATTTCACACTTGGAATTGCTACAAGTAATAATTGTGAACGATAAAGGTTTGCTTACAACTTATACCTTGTTTTTATGCAATATAAATTGGTAATAATATAATTAATAAACATGATGTATATACTGCTTTACTATTTCTTGTTTTAATGCGCCGAAGCCAAAACGATACATTTTTACCACAAAGGATGAACTGAAGTAGAATGGAATTGTAAGTCAAGGTATATATTTTTACTGAATATAGTCTGTTTATGTGTAGTGTTGTATTTTGTTTAATGTTCAATTTATGTGTATTTTGTATATAAAACTAACTAATTAATTAAACTAACGACCTGACGGCTGCTGACAGAAACTAATTACGTCAGTTTATACTAATATATGTCGTTAATTATCGCTAATAAAAAACAGACGTTAGAATTTCGCCATAGCGATCTCATCGATATTTGGCTCAGAAATAATCGCAAAATATCATCTGTGTTAGATTGCATTTATAAAAAAATTAGTCATTGCCACGTCGAAGATGATAAAAAGTTAGAAATCAATCAAAAATCAAGTAACTTTGAATCATTTATAAAAAAGACTTCCAAAATGCAACTATATGGTCGAACGTTTTAAGTCTAAGCATATTGAATGGATGTCGTCTACAATATCAGTTACAATAAATGAAAACTGTAAGACGCAACAAAAACCGAGACGCCGAACTTTGTCATATTAAATGGAAATAAATTTCGATTAAAAAGAAAATGGCATCTGAGCTGGCGAATGAAAAACAGCACAACACAGCCGTTTCTGCTCAGAAGGAATGTAACAAAAAGTGGCCTTGGCCGTAAAGAAATTATTACAACACCTGCTCAATACCCAATAGAATTAAAAAAGCAACTTCAAATCCAAAACCGACTCCGCTCACACCAAACGAAGCCCTTACATCCTGGAAAATTCTTTAACCAAACAGCAATATGTGAACACTAGGGTTTTGAATATAAATCATCACAGCGACATCATATCCAAGCTACAATCAAGTAATAGAAGCTAAGATGCAGTGTCGCCCGAGGGGTATAGAAGTTACAGAAACTACTGCTCAAGTGTCACGGCAAAACCTATTGAATCATTCTGCAGAGCGAATAATTAAAATGGAATTAGATGTTTTTAAGCAATCTCTGGATACTTCTGTACTTCTGTCTCAGACCAGTCCTTTGTTTGTAACTTCTTTTATACCCATAAAAATGATTGACTCATTTCAATTAAATATCTTCGTTAACAGAACACCGCTATGTATATATTCGACTTTGCACGCCGCTGAAAATTTAATTTGTTAAAGAAACTTCTGATGATATACGTATAGAAAAAAATCAGTTAGACTATTAAATAGGTAATCTAAAACCGTTTTATTATAAACTGAATGAGGCTAATAACATAACAGTTCCTTTGAAATGCATATTACAATCATTGACGGAAGAGTATTAAATGTCAGAATTCGTAGTGAATATATCATACAAAATGTAAGTACAACAAGAAAGGAAGCTAACTTCGGCACGCCGAAGTTTATATACCCTTGCAGATAGAACTTCTATGAATAGGAATCCATACAATATAAATTATATATACTTGTGTTAAAAAACAATGAAGTAATACCTGCTTTCATTTCATTCACCTATACATATTATATTTGCAGTTTACATTCACAGATTTGCATTTTTCCTCTACATCAAACGATCGTTTGTATGGCACCTATATGATATAGTCGTCCGATTTTTATGAAATTTTCCACAAAATTTTAGACTTATATAAAATGGCTATACCTCAAATTTGATGAAAATCAGCTGAAAACTAAAAAAGTTATAAATTTAATTGTATTAATTTCTCGATCTTTCCTATGGGAGCTATATGATATAGTCGTCCAATTTCATAAAATTTTACACAAAATTTTAGAATAATATGAAATGGCTATATTTCAAATTTGATTAAATTCTGTTGAAAACTAAAAATGTTATCGCCACCGCGATTGTCAGTCTTCCGACAACAGCCACCGCCATTCTCATTCCTCTCAAATTTCTCGATCGTTCCTATGGGAGCTATATGATATATTAGTCCGATTTTCATAAAATTTTACACAAAATTGTAGAATAATATGAAACGGCTATATCTCAAATTTGATGAAAATCTGTTGAAAACTGAAAATGTTATACTTTTTAATTGAATTAATTTCTCGATCGTTCCAATGGGAGCTATATGATATAGTAGTCCGATTTTCATAAAATTTTACACAAAATTGTAGAATAATATAAAATGCCTATATCTCAAATTTGATCAAATTCTGTTGAAAACTAAAAATTTATAATTTTTTTTTTTTGTAAAACTTTTCCGATCATTCCTATGACAGCTATATGATATAGTCGTCCGATCCGGCCCGTTCCGACATATATACGAGTGAGAGTATATAGAAGACTAACTGCAAAGTTTCATTCAGATAGCTCCAAAACTGAGAGACTAGTTTGCGTAGAAACGGACAGACGGACAGACGGACATGGTTAGATCGACTCGGCTGTTGATCCTGATCAAGAATATATATACTTTATATAGTCGGAGGTGCCTCCTTCACTGCGTTGCAAACTTCTGACTGAAATTATAATACCCTGCAAGGGTATAAAAATGGCATGTAAAAGGTGATAACAAGAGTAAATGAGTGCGCGAAAGAAATATATTCGGGAAAAAATGTGGAATGGTATGGGTCTTCGAGTAACCCAAAGCAGAATGGTAGCGGGAACAGCAATGACGGTAATACAGCATGAAGAGCTTTTGCAAATAGTGAACAACTATCATCCATAACCGGCTTGAGAAAACTCTTTTATATAATTTTTTCGTTATATTAATAGAAAATTCATGTGTCTATTATATAAACTCTGAAAAATTTCGAATTTTTTGTGAGAAAACGTTTGCCTATATATGCATAAATACCCGTGGTGCCCCATGTCACCAACGATTCACAAAATACTAGTCCACGGTTTTAAAATAAATAATTCGACGTTAGTTCCCTTAGGATGCTTAGGCGAAAATTCTTCTGAAGCGCGCAATAAAATCTATAAATAAATAATAGTTAAAAAAAAAACTAAAAAAAACACGCTTGTATACATAACCGAACTAAAAAGAAGAAATAATTTATAATTACAAACAAAATTATTAAATTCAGAGCAATAGTATATAATTATAAACAAGATTACTAAATTCAGAGTTAAAAGCGTGGGGTGCATCTATAATCAATGTTACAATTATTCTAAGGACAACTATCTGTAAGGGGAGAATTATGAAAGTATAGAAAAATCCTACACCCGACGTTTTTAACTCTGAACAACATCCCATTTGAAAAGGAATAGCAATCTGATTGTGATTCGGATAAGGATTTGAACGAAGGCAGCACAATAATACTAGAATAAGAAGAATAATATGATGTTTAGACAGAACCCATACATAACATATATGTAGACATAGATACTTAAATTATTCCTGAAAAAAATGTAAGTATATTGTCTGAATGCAGCGACATACTCAATTTCTAATGATAATACTACGAATCAGTTTGTATGGGAGGCAATAGAGAGCGTGGTCGCACAGATTCAAAATTTTTTTACATTATCTTTTTAAAAACATAATGTGCAAAGTTTTAGGTCTGTAACTGTAATTTTAGAATTTATGCCAAAAGATTGACTTCTGGACCATAGTGCAACCGTAAGGATTTTATTAAATTTTATTTTATTTTGTGTATTATTATTAAAATTTTGAAATTTTGACTTCTAGATACTTAAAAATCATCTAACATGTTAATAAGAAACAAAGCAATTAATCTAAGAAATGACCAAAGTCCAAACTTATTTTTCGATAGTGCATGTGAGGCGCTCCTATCGATATGAAGTCTGTTTATTAATGAGGTCGAAAAAGATAGACTTGAATTTCTCAAAATCTGACGGTTACATCGAGCTCGAAATAAGAGAATATTTTCCACTATCGTTCGAGAACGCGTTCATTTACAGCTTTACCAATTTTTTAAAAGTCGAAAATATAGTATGGGACATGCCTCCTGGCGTTACGAACATTATGCCTCGCTGGAAGTATAATATAATTTTAATTTTACTACTTTGATAGTGGACGAGTGGAACTGGAGGCCACGGAGCAGTTGGAGGCCGTGGAGCATTTAGAGGGCGCGGAGCTGCTGGAGCTAGTCGGACGGAGCCTTTCATACGGGCAGGGCCTTAACCGGACGCAGCGGGTAGCGTTCGCCAATCAGGCGGCGCGAATCTTCCCGGTTAAGCGAAAAACGCCTAACAAGGCTAGCTGTTATAGAGGTGCTCCGTCCGGCTCTATTCGCGCAGTTGCAGCCTCTGCCGTAGCATCACCCGCAGGAGGAGCAGCAGCCGCAGTTTTACAAATAAAATTATTTTAACTTGAGATATGGTCACTGTTTATTATTCCAGAATTTCGGCTTAAAGTTAATGAGAATCGGACGTGTGTATCATTTATCAGTCATAGAAACAATCGGGAAATAATAGAAATAGGGCATAACTTAAATAACAGATTAACACATTTTAAATTAATTTTAGAATTAAGTATTTTTTTAATTATTATTGTGGAGCATCATTTTTAATTTTATGATTTAATTGCAATCTGCAAGTATATACAATACACTGGGTCACCAGGAAGTCAAACGAAACCTGACATATCATTTGTGTTGTGTTCTGTCCCATTGTTAGCTGCTCAATCTCAGTGGCCAAGTTAATGGAAGCTCATCGTCCCTGAAGATGTAATGCGTCTGTGTGGCCGGTTGGCTCTGCCCACCGAGTAGCCATTGCCGCACCACAGAATTGGAAAAACATTAATTTTACGAATGAATCTTCCTAGTTTTAGCCCCTGCTTAGTTTGTACTACACTATGTTCCAGTATCTTAAATACGGACTCTACTAGGCCATTGCTGGGTCTTTTATTGCTGGAATCATAATTATGCTGAAATATAAATAATATCTTCTCCCATTTCGGACCCCTCTGAAATTATTTGTAACACTAGAGACTTAATTATTTTAAATCGTTTGTAAAATCAACTTTTACCAACAATGTTTTTTTTTATTGTTCTCATAGATTCTAACACTCCACTCTTTATATGCCGAATCGAAGCCCGGGAAATTAATTCTGACTCACTAATCAGTGCTATTGTTGTAAATCGTGATGTACTTCCAATGGAATTACCTCGGAACTTTGTTCCAATATTGCGCTTTAAAAGTTCACAACGCATGATATCCCATAGCGCAAATTATAAGATGTTATCTGCAAAGAAATTAAACCAACCTCGAGGATCCAATGTAGTTGGTCGACCGGTCAAAATAACCCCAGTAGAGGTGGAGAAAGATCGATGTTCACGGACATCGACATTTAAACAAAAAAAATTAGCAGTTATTTTTGTGTATTTGAACCTTATTTTAATTTGTAATATTTAAAAAATTAAAAGTCAAATTTTCAACAAAAATATCCATTTTATTAAAAACTTATTATATAAAAAAGAAAACGAAAAACAAATTAAAGGCAAATTCATGGTTCACTTCTTTGGCATATTATCATTAAAATTAAAACTAAAAACAAAAACAACAACAAACGCTGGTTTTTGTTTAAAAATATGAGCTTATCGACAACGGTCGACGATAGCCGGGTGCGACGCTCGTTTATAATTTGACCAGCTTTACTAAAAACTCGCCCAGATAATCTAAAATATAAATAATACAATAAATTGGAAAAAATATGTTATTGTTATATGTTATTATTTTTACCTTCCAGTACGCAAGAGGGTCACATTCTTCCGGCTTCTCCTTTTCGAAATGCTGTCTCATCAATATAATGGCATCTGCCCAGGTAGAGTGCACCTTGTTTCGGCTTTTTGCTTGTAGGAATGAAAATCTGCTTGGTTCCTGTGTTGGTGGTGTTGGCGGATGTAGTGGGTTTCCAGGTAGTTTTGTAAAAAGTTCTTGCTGCACAGCTTTGGCACCATCTTCCGCATTAAAGGGAATCAAAAATCCATGCTTTTTAAAGCTTGGATCTATTATGGTAGCAATTTGTGGTATTGTACGCGTTTCATAGCTTGCGAGCCTCTTGTTAAGACTTAACTTGACAGCTGTCAAAATGTTTTTACATTTTTCTGTGCTGACTTGAACATTGTTAATTTTGTGATGCAGTTCGCATATGCCAGGGATAATTAAAGACGCTGATACCTTTGTGTTTGTAGACACAGAAAGCGTCGATTTCTTGCAGAAGAGAATGCGGATTGATTTCCTGGGCTTCCTTAAATTTCGAATATGCGATCTGGCTTCTTTTAAAAAAGCCAACTACCGACTTACATTTTGTAAGAATTACGTCGATTTCGGGCAATTTTAGAACATCTTGCACAATGAGGTTGATTGTGTGCGCTACACAAGGCAAGTGCTCGTACTCAAGCAACTCAAATGCTTTAAGCATCGTCGTATCATTTTCAGTCACAACTCAAACAACCTTATTCGTGACACCTCAATCATCAAGCACGCCCTTTATTATTTCAGAAATATTACTAGCATTGTGATTGGTAGTGTCAAGAAGTTGCCTTGTTGCTAAAATTGCCGACTTCAATGTTAAACTATTTAAAACAAAATGGCACGTAACTGTAATCAACCTTCGTTTGCTTTGGATGTCCACAAATCAGTCGCTTTGGCCAGAAAATCAACATCGCTTAGTACAGACTGGAGTTTATTCTTAAGAGACTCATATTGAGATGGAAGCACTACGTCGCGCAGGTGTGACCTACTAGGTAACCTGTAGCGGAGGTCAATTTCTTTCATGAGCTCTTTAAATCCGTCGTCCTCAACACAATAAAAGGTTGAACATCGACAGCAATCATGTTCATGACCTTACTGTCTAGGGGACGTTTTCGTTTCGAGTCATTTTCATAAAAGGAAACCGATTTTCAACAAACTTTTCTAATATGTTTGGGTTCTGTGGAGTTCCCCTAACTTTAAGCCGACCAGCATGAACGTGATTTAAGTGGTCCATTAGATTTGTTGTGTTTCCACACGTCTTTATTGGCTTACCACAGTAATTGCATATCCCATGCGTTTTTCGCTGTTTCTTTTAAACTGATCCCAAGCTATAGAACCATCACGCCTCCTCTTCTTTTGATCCTCATCGGGCATTGTCTGTTCGCTTGCTGCTCCTATAAGAAATAAACTGTATTAATGTCTATTCAATTCAAAAGCAAAAATGCATGCAAATGTGCATGTGCTTTTCGGCAGAAATGCGTATAAAAATGGTTTAACCCAGCCCCTTCCTCATCATCCCCCTGGTTGGGGTTATCGGTATTTTCGGAGACATCTACAATAGTTCTCAGGCACGTCTCAGACGTAGCATGAATCAGGGCAATCCAGATTGCTAATATAGTTGTTGGAGCAATTGAATCATTAGAGCATTTGCAGATCTCTTGCTCCCTAATAGTGCACCAACAATGTGGATCAAAAAGTATATAAACTGATTATGGGTTGCCGAGTAAGCGGATTTGGTTGCCAAACCCAAATCAAGTAGGATTCTTTGGTATCCAACTCCTCATTCCCCTCGAACAAGTTGATAAAAATTGGCCTGTAGATGCAGTGAAACTAATATCCGATGAGTCTTACCCTATACTGATTTAACAGTTGTTTCAGTTCCAGTAGAATGGGTGGACCTTGAACTAATGTAGAGAGACCATTTGGCTTCACTGGACGTCCTTGCTGGGCGATGGTAATCCCGTAAGGGACCCATTAAGCGGTCAATGGCTCTCCTTTTAATACCTTGGCAAGAAACCAATTTATCGCCCTATATAGATATTATTTGGATTTTGTTTACTTTCCTTTTGTTTAAAATATTAAGGGGTATTAAAACGGGCTTTTGAGTAATAAGTACGTTGGGGTGTTACTTGTTAAACCTTTTTAAATTTTTTGTGCAAAGTGCTAATTAATAAACAGTTTTGTTAAAATCTGTTGATAAAAGGTAAATCAGTGGATGTGGCGTTATTTATTTGTTTATATATACATTTTTCTTTTCTTTATTTTGTAAGTGTATTAATTAAGTGATACTAAACGATGCCTTCCAATCCACAAGTTAACGTGACCGCCCCAGTGGATGCACTTTGCAGCATGAATATTAAAATCAATTGCACCTGAAGTGAATAAAATGAAGGTATTGAGATCACGAAGCTGTCTGCAACCTAACTAGACGGATACCATAGCAATTTCGGTGTTACCACCGATGTTACCACCTATATTACCACCGATGTGACCACTGATGTTACCACCGATGTCACCACCGATGTGACCACCGATGTTACCAGCGATGTTACCACCGATGCTTCCACCGATGTTACCACAGATGTTACCTCCTATGTTACCACCGATGTTTCCAGCGAGATATAACCACAGATGTTACCATCGATGTTACCACCCGCGTTACCACCGACGTAACCACCGATGTTACCACCGATATAACCACTGATGTAACCACCGCTGTTACCACCTATGTTACCACCGATGTTTCCACCGATGCTTCCATCTATGTTACCACCGAAGTTACCACCGATGTAACCACCGATGTGACCAAGGAATGTTACCACCGATGTTACCATCGATATAACCACCGATCTTACCACCGATGCTTCCACCAATAAATCACAGATGTTACCAGCGATGGTACCACCGATGTGACCACCGATGTGACCACCGATGTTACCACCGTTGTTACAACCGATGTTACCACCGTTGTTACTACCGATGTAACCACCGATGTTACCACCGATGCATCCACCGATGTTACCACAGATATTACCACCGATGTTACCACCTATGTTACCACCGATGTTATCACTGATGTTACCAGCGATTGTTCCCCCGATGTTACCACCAATGTTATCACCCTTGTTACCACCGATGTTAAAACCGATATTACCAGCGATGTTACCACCGATTTTTCCACCGATGTTACCACCGATGTGACCACCGATGTTATCACCGATGATACCAAAGATGGTAGCAGCGATGGTATCACCGGTGTTACAACCTTTGTTACCAGCGATGTTGCCAGCAGTGTTACCAGCGATGGTACCAAAATCTTGCTGTAGGTTGCTTACAGCTTCTACAGATTGCATTGTATGGCAGTCCCAACTTCATTGCGTGCGAACAGATCGCCCAATGTCCCGTGGTGAGTGCCGTGAACCTGCTAATATCCCGCTTGCTGTTGGATAGCAGTTCACTGGTTCGTTTCTTGGCGTACCTCGGCCAACTTCTGTGATCGCTCTTACTTTGCCATTCTTTATTAGCTATCTGCTTAAAGTGGTCATGGATCCTTGTCTGGATCGCGTTTAGGGAGATCGGTAATTCGAAGTCAGAACTTAGTCCTGCCGAGCCTGCACGGACTAGCTCGTCTGCCTTCTCATTTCCTGGGATCTTGTTATGTCCCGGTACCTATGTTACTTGTACCTTATTTTTTTCGGCAAGTCTATTAAGCGCCTTCTTGCATTCTGCACTAGTCGTGAGTTCGTTTTCACGGTAGCTAGGGATTTTATAGCCGCTTGCTATCTGAGTAGATTCTAACTCTTTTGCCCCTGAGGTCCTGCCTTAAGGAAAGTTCGACTGCTTACCTTATGGCTAGTAACTCAGCCTGAAAGACCGTCGCTGAGTTAGAGAGATTGAAAGCCTGTTAAATTCTCCAATTTTCAGCGAAGATCCCAGCCCCTACGCCGCAGCTCATTTTTGAGCCATCGGTGTAGAGGGACACCTCGTTCTCCACTACTACTCTGCCTCTACTCCAGTCATCCCTTGATGGGTATGATGTTGAGAATGCGTTCCCGAATTTCATTTCCGCGATCATGTAGTCGGTTTTAACGTCTGTGTTAATGCCGCTGTTTGCAAGGATCTTGCCGTGCCCGGCGCCGTAGTCCCTCCAGCAATTGTTCGCCTTCAGTCTTACTGCCGCAGTGTCCTTCACGAATAGCTCTATCGGCATTATATCTAGGATAGCGTTGAGAGCAGCCGCGGGGCATGAGCGCATTGCACCCACTGCCCCCGCACTCGCTGCCCGTTGCATCCAGGATAACTCCTAGATACTTCGCTCGCTCCGATAGTTTTAGCTCCATGCCGCTAATACTGGGCATGTTGAAAGGAGGTATCTTAGTTCTTCGTGTGAAGAGCATAAGTTCCGTTTTAGTGGGGTTGATACCTAGTCCGCAGGTTTCTGCCCGTTTGTTTAAACGACCTAGCGCACCCGTCATTATTTCGCTAATAACGTCAGGGTATGGTCCTGATACTAGCAGTACTACGTCGTCTGCGTATGCAACTGCTTTGACTCCACCCGTATTGAGATCTGTCAATATGGCGTTCATATTTGTGAGCTAGAGTAGGGGCGATAGTACCCCGCCCTGAGGTGTGCCTCTCTTCACAGTCCGCGTGAGGTGAGTGCCACTCAGTTCGGCTGTGATCGTCCTGCTCTTTAGCATGACTCCGATCCACTCTCTGATGCCTCTCTCAATACCTAGCAAGTTGAGGGAGCCCAGGATAGAGTCGGGGTTCACGTTATTGAACACGCCTTCGATGTCTAGGAAGGCTGCCATCGTGTATTGTTTGTGTTGTAATGTCTTCTCGACATGATGTACAACTACGTGTAGCGCTGTTTCCGTAGATTTTCCTCTGCGATACGCATGCTGCGCATCCGAGAGTTGATGCCCTTCTAGAGACTCTCGGATGTGGACGTCCAGGGCGAAGCAGGTGAGACTTATCGGTCTATAATCCTTTGCTAGGATATGCCCCCTTCTGCCCGGTTTGGGTATGAAAATGACTTTTGCCTCCCTCCACAGGAGTGGGATGTGCGTCAGTCTTAAACAAGCTTCGTAAATGGCTTTTAGCCATTTGCAAATGCTATCCTTGACTGATTGTAGCATTGCCGGTATTAAGCCGTCTTGGCCCGGGCTTTTGTACTTATCGAAAGAATCTATTGCCCACTGAATTCGCTCAGTGGTGATGATGTCTTTGAGCGTTCGTTCCCTCCTCGGGTTCCGAGCTCACTCTTAGGTTTCCTGGGAAGTGGGTATCAACTAGTAGCTCTAGTGACTCCTCAACTGTCGTCGCAGCAGATCCGCCTGCTCTGTTGATCAGGGTAGGGCTTGTGTGCCCTTTGGCGAGAATTTTGCTTACTCTCGCCGTGTCCTTTATGCCTCCTAGTGACCGGCAGTAGTTTTGCCACGACTCTTTTTTGGCCTTGTATACTGCCTTCTTGTACATTTTTTGTATTCTTTGTATGTTCCCCAATCCCGGGTTACATAGCTGTTGTTGAAGGACTTTCTCGCGCTCTTTCTGAGCTCGCTTAGTTCCTTTGTCCACCACGGTGGGTATTGCTTCTTCGAGAATGTTAGCTTACAAGTCTCTTTGAAGGCGTTGTTCAGAATATTTGTTGGTCTTTCACCTCCTTGTCTAGTGCCTTTGCAGTGAATATAGTCTTGATCATCCTGCCGTTTACTTTAGATTGGGCAATTTAGCTGAAATTGTTCCAATCCGTCTTACGGGGGTTTCTTCTAGGCACCTGTTTCTTAACTGGTGTCGTTATTTCAAAGAAAATGTATCTATGGTCTGTGAAGGAGTGTTCTGTCGATACCCTCCAGTTCTCGACCCTGTAATTGTTCTGTTCTATATGTAAGGTGAAGTCTAACACCTCTTCCAAACCTAGATAATTTTCCGACAGAGGAAAGCATTAAAATGATTCTTAATTACAATGCAAGTTTTCGACCTACCATTCGATTTTGTGCACAGTAGTGTGTATCCTTGGATTCTCAGTCCAGCGACTTGCCCGTCCCTGGTCCAAGACTCCTGTATCAAACCGATGTCGATATCCCTCTCCCTTAGAAGGATCGTGCGATTAGCTGAAGCGTGCGAGCTGCGCTTCAGGTTAATCTGCACGATTCTCGACATCGATGTTGGTGGGGTGGCGTCAGGAGATTTGTCGTCGATGACCATGTCGTCCAACAATTTGTTGGTGTCATCGACCTCCTCCAGAATCTCGTCCGGCTCGGCCAAGAAGACCTTTATCTTGGCCTTCCTGGTGCCGTACCGGACCTTGTGGTCATTGGCCTCCAGCTGGGCCATACAGCGCTAGTTTATCAGCAGGAGGAAAGGCTGACTCGCCTTCATTTCGTGCTCTGCTCGGAGGATGGTCCAGTCCTCTGTATGGATGTCTGGGTTCTGGGCCCTCAGACAGGCAATCACCCTTGCATGGTCAGTTTGCCCCTTTGGTAACCAGATGCGAGCTCTGGGTCTCCTTGGGATCTCCCTGGCGTGGACATGCCTAATCTTAAGGCCAGCCCATATGTCGCTAATCTTAGCCAGACACTCCGGTGTAGTCACCGATGTAACCACCGATGTTACCACCAATGTTACCACCCTTGTTACCACCGATGTTACCTCCGATGTTACCACAGATGTTTCCACTGATGTTACCACCCGCTTTACCTCCGATGCTTCCACCGATGTTACGTCCGACGTTACCGAAGATGTTACCAAAGATAGTACCAGAGATGGTACCACCGATGTTACAACCTATGTTACCAGCGATGTTGCCAGCGGTGTTACCAGCGACGGTACCACCGATATTGACACTAATGTTACCACCGATGCTTCCACCGATAATCACAGATATAACCAGCGATGTTACCACCGATGCATCCACCGATGCTACCACCGATGTTACCACCGATGATTCCACCGATGTTACCACCAATGTTACGAGCGATGCATCCACCGATGTTTCCAGCGAGATGTCATCACAGATGTTACCAACGATGTTACCACCCGCGTTACCACCGATGCTTCCACCGATGTTACCACCGATATTACAACCGGTGTAGCCACAGATGTTACCAGTGATGTTACAACCGATGTAACCACCGATGTTACCACCAATTTCATCACCGAAGTTACCACCGATGTTATCACTCATGTTACCAGCGATTGTACCACCGATGTTACCACCTATGTTACCTCTGATATTACCACCCATGTTACCACCGATGTAATCACCGATGTAACCACCGATGTTACCACCCTTGTTACCACCGATGTTACCTCCGATGTTACCACAGATGTTTCCACCGATATTACCACCGTTGTTACCACGGATGTTACCACCGATTCTTCCACAGATGTTACCACCGTTGTTACCACCCGCGTTTCTACCGATGTTACCACCGATGTTACCACCGAAGTTACCACCGATGTAAAGACCGATTTAGCCACCGATGTTACCACCGATGTTGCCACCGAAGTTACCACCGATGTAATCACCGATGTAACCACTGAAGTTACCTTCAATGCTTACACCGATATTACCACCGATGTCACCACCGATGTCACCACCGATGTGACCACCGATGTGACCACCGATGTGACCACCGATGTTACCACCAATGTTACCACCGATATTACAACCTGTGTAGCCACAGATGTTACCAGTGATGTTAAAACCGATGTAATCATCGATGTTACCACCAATTTCATCACCGAAGTTACCACCGATGTTATCACTGATGTTACCAGCGATTGTACCACCGATGTTACCACCGATGGTTCTACCGATGTTACAACCGATGTGACCACCGATGCTATCACTGATGTTACCAGCGATTGTACCACCAATGTTACCACTGAAGTTACCACCCTTGTTACCACCGATGTTACCATAGATGTTTCCACCGATGTTTCCACCGATGTTACCACCCGCGATACCACCAATGCTTCCACCTATGTTACCATCGATGATACCTTCGGTGTAGCCACAGATGTTACCAGCTATCGCTTACCACCAATGTTACCACCGATATTACCAAGAATATTACCAGCAATGTTACCACCGATGTTACCAGCGGTGTTACCAGCGATGTGACCACCGATGTTACCACCGATATTACATTCAATGTTAAAAGCGGTGATATCAGCGGTGTTACCAGCGATGTAACCGACGATGTTTTCACCGATGTTACCAACGTTCATACCACCTATGTTTCCAGCGATGTTACCACCAATATTACTACCGATATGACCACAGATGTTACCACCGATGTTTCAAGCGATGATAAAAACGGTGTTACCAGCGGTGTTTCCAGCTATGACAACACCGATTTCCCCACCGTTGTTACCACCGATTTTTCCACCAATGTGGCCACCGATCATACCACATTTGTTTCCACCGATGTTTCCACCGATGTTACCACCGCTATGACCACCGATGTTACCACCGATGTTACCACCGATGTTACCACCGATGCTACCACCGATTCTACCACAGATGTTAGAAGCGAAATTACCACAGATGTTACCACATATGTGACCACCGATGATACAACCGATATTACCACCGATGTAACCACCGTTGTTACCACGGATGTTACCACCAATATTACCACCGATGCTTCCACCGATGTTACCACCAATGTTTCAAGCGATATTACCAGCTGTGTTCCTAGCGATGTTAGCAGCGATGCTACCGCAGATGTTACAACCGATGTCACCAGCGGTGTTTCCACTGATGTTACCACCGTTGTTAGCACCGATGCTACCACCGATGTTACCACAGATCTTACCAGCGATGTTACCAGCGGTGTTACTAGCGATGTTACCAGTGATGTTTCCACCGATTTTACCACCGATGCTTCGACAGATGTAACCACAGAAGTTACAAGCGATGGTACCACCGATGTTACCACCAATGTTACCACCAATGTTACCACCGATGTTACCACCAATGTTACCACCGATGTTACCACCGATATTACCAGCTGTGTTATCAGCGATGTAACCAGCGATTTCTCCACTGATTTTAGCTCCGATCTTACCACATATGTTTCCACCGATGCTACCACCGTTGATACCACCGTTGTTACCACCGATGTTACCACCGATGCTTCCACCGATGTAACCACCAATGTTTCAAGCGATATTACCAGCTGTGTTCCTAGCGATGTTACCAGCGATGATACCACAGATGTTACAACCGATGTCACCAGCGGTGTTTCCACTGATGTTACCTTCGTTGTTAGCACCGATGCTACCACCGATGCTACCACCGATGCTACCACCGATGCTACCACCGATGTTAGAACAGATCTTACCAGCGATGTTACTAGAGGTGTTACTAGCGATGTTACCAGTGATGTTTCCACCGATGTTACCACCAATGTGACAACCGATGTTACCACCAATGTTACCACCGCTGTTACCACCTAGGTTACCATCGAAGTTTCCATCGATGTTACCATCGATGTTTCCACCGATATTACCACCGATGTTACCACCAATATTAAAAGCGATGTTACAAGCGGTGATACCAGCGGTGTTACCAGCGATGTTACCGGCGGTGTTTTCACCGATGTTACCACCGATCATACCACATATGTTTCCACCGATGTTACCACCGATGTTACCAACGCTATGACCACCGATATTACAACGGATGTTACAAGCGGTGTTATCAGCGGTGTTACCGGGCGATGATACCAACGATTTCCCCACCGATGTTACCACCGATCATACCACATTTGTTTCCACCGATGTTTCCACCGATGTTACCACCGCTCTGACCACCGATGTTACCATCGATTTGACGACCGAAGCTACAAGCGATGTTACCAGCGGTGTGTCCACCGATGTCACCAGCGGTGTTACCAGCGATGTTATCACTTATTTTACAAGCGATGTTACAAGCGGTGTTACCAGCCGTGTTCCCAGCAATGATACCACCGGTTTCCCCATCGATGTTACCACCGATTTTTCCACCGATGTGACCACCGATGTTGCCACCGATGTTACTACCGGTGTTACCACCAATGGAACCACCGATGTTTCCACCGATGTTACCACCGAAATTACCACCGATGCTTCCACCGATGTAACCACCAATGTTTCAAGCGATATTACCAGCTGTGTTCCTAGCGATGTTAGCAGCGATGCTACCGCAGATGTTACAACCGATGTCACCAGCGGTGTTTCCACTGATGTTACCACCGTTGTTATCACCGATGCTACCACCGATGTTACCACAGATCTTACCAGCGATGTTACCAGCGGTGTTACTAGCGATGTTACCAGTGATGTTTCCACCGATTTTACCACCGATGCTTCGACAGATGTAACCACAGAAGTTACAAGCGATGGTACCACCGATGTTACCACCAATGTTACCACCAATGTTACCACCGATGTTACCACCTAGGTTACCAACGATGTTTCCACCGATGTTACCATCGATCATACCACATATGTTTCCACCGATGTTACCACCGATGTTACCAACGCTATGACCACCGATATTACAACGGATGTTACAAGCGGTGTTATCAGCGGTGTTACCGGGCGATGATACCAACGATTTCCCCACCGATGTTACCACCGATCATACCACATTTGTTTCCACCGATGTTTCCACCGATGTTACCACTGCTCTGACCACCGATGTTACCATCGATTTGACGACCGAAGCTACAAGCGATGTTACCAGCGGTGTGTCCACCGATGTCACCAGCGGTGTTACCAGCGATGTTATCACTTATTTTACAAGCGATGTTACAAGCGGTGTTACCAGCCGTGTTCCCAGCAATGATACCACCGGTTTCCCCATCGATGTTACCACCGATTTTTCCACCGATGTGACCACCGATGTTGCCACCGATGTTACTACCGGTGTTACCACCAATGGAACCACCGATGTTTCCACCGATGCTACCACCGAAATTACCACCGATGCTTCCACCGATGTTACCACCAATGTTTCAAGCGATATTACCAGCTGTGTTCCTAGCGATGTTAGCAGCGATGCTACCGCAGATGTTACAACCGATGTCACCAGCGGTGTTTCCACTGATGTTACCACCGTTGTTAGCACCGATGCTACCACCGATGTTACCACAGATCTTACCAGCGATGTTACCAGCGGTGTTACTAGCGATGTTACCAGTGATGTTTCCACCGATTTTACCACCGATGCTTCGACAGATGTAACCACAGAAGTTACTAGCGATGGTACCACCTATGTTACCACCAATGTGCCAACCAATGTTACCACCAATGTTACCTCCGATGTTACCACCTATGTTACTAACGATGTTTCCACTGATGTTACCATCGATCATACCACATACGTTTCCACCGATGTTACCAACGCTATGACCACCGATATTACAACCGATGTTACAAGCGGTGTTATCAGCGGTGTTACCACCGATCATACCACAATTGTTTCCACCGATGTTACCACCGCTCTGACCACCGATGTTACCACCGATGTTACCACCGTTGCTACCACCGATTCTACCACCGATGTTAGAAGCGAAATTACCACAGATGTTACCACATATGTGACCTCCGATGATACAACCGATATTACCACCGATGTTACCACCGATGTTACCACGGATGTTACCACCGATGCTTCCACCGATGTTACCACCGATATTACCAGCTGTGTTATCAGCGATGTTACCAGCGATTTCTCCACTGATTTTAGCTCCGATCTTACCACATATGTTTCCACCGATGCTACCACCGTTGATACCACCGTTGTTACCACCGATGTTACCACCGATGCTTCCACCGATGTAACCACCAATGTTTCAAGCGATATACCAGCTGTGTTCCTGGCGATGTTACCAGCGATGATACCACAGATGTTACAACCGATGTCACCAGCGGTGTTTCCACTGATGTTACCTTCGTTGTTAGCACCGATGCTACCACCGATGCTACCACCGATGTTACCACAGATCTTACCAGCGATGTTACTAGCGGTGTTACTAGCGATGTTACCAGTGATGTTTCCACCGATGTTACCACCAATGTGACAACCGATGTTACCACCAATGTTACCACCGCTGTTACCACCTAGGTTACCATCGAAGTTTCCATCGATATTACCATCGATGTTTCCACCGATATTACCACCGATGTTACCACCAATATTAAAAGCGATGTTACAAGCGGTGATACCAGCGGTGTTACCAGCGATGTTACCGGCGGTGTTTTCACCGATGTTACCACCGATCATACAACTTATATTTCCACCGATGTTACCACCGATGTTATCACCGCAATGACCACCGATGTTACCACCGATGTTACCACCGATTCTACCACCGATGGTACCACCGTTGTTACCACGGATGTTACCACCAATGCTTACACCGATATTTCCACCGATGTCACCACCGATGTAACAACCGATGTTACCAGCGATCTTACCAGTGGCGTTAACGGCGATGTTACCACCGATATTACCATCGATGTGACGACCGAAGCTACCAGCGATGTTACCAGCGGTGTGTCCACCGATATCACCAGCGGTGTTACCAGCGATGTTATCACTTATTTTACAAGCGATGTTACAAGCGGTGATATCACCGGTGCTTCCAGCGATGTTACCACTGATATTACTACCGATATGACCACAGATGTTACCACCGATGTTTCAAGCGATGATAAAAACGGTGTTACCAGCGGTTTTCCAGCTATGACAACACCGATTTCCCCACCGATGTTACCGCCGATTTTTCCACCAATGTGGCCCCGATATGACCATCGATGTTTAAAGCGATGTTACAAGCGGTGTTACCAGCGGTGTTACCAGCGATGTTACCAGCGATGTTACCAGCGATGTTTTCACCGATCATACCACCTATGTTTCCACCGATGTGACCACCGATGTTGCCACCGATGTTACCACCGATGTTACCACCTAGGTTACCATCGAAGTTTCCATCGATGTGACCACCAATGTTGCCACCGATGTTACTACCGGTGTTACCACCAATGGAACCACCGATGTTTCCAACGATTTTTCCACCGATGTGACCACCAATGTTTCCACCGATATTAGCACCGATGTTACCACCAATATTAAAAGCGATGTTACAAGCGGTGATATCAGCGGTGTTACCAGCGATGTTACCAGCGATGTAACACCGATTATACCACCGATGTCACCACCGATGTCACCACGATGTGACCACCGATGAGACCACCGATGTACCAGCGATCTTACCAGCGGCGTTACCAGCGATGTTACCACAGATGTTTCCACCGATGTTACCAACGCTATGACCACCGATATTACAACCGATGTTACCACCGGTGTTACCACCTAGGTTACCACCTAGGTTACCACCTAGGTTACCACCGTTGCTACCACCGATTCTACCACCGATGTTAGAAGCGAAATTACCACAGATGTTACCACATATGTGACCTCCGATGATACAACCGATATTACCACCGATGTTACCACCGATGTTACCACGGATGTTACCACCGATGTTACCACGGATGTTACCACCGATGCTTCCACCGATGTTACCACCGATATTACCAGCTGTGTTATCAGCGATGTTACCAGCGATTTCTCCATCGATTTTAGCTCCGATCTTACCACCTATGTTTCCACCGATGCTACCACCGTTGATACCACCGTTGTTACCACCGATGCTTCCACCGATGTTACCACCAATGTTTCAAGCGATATTACCAGCTGTGTTCCTAGCGATGTTAGCAGCGATGCTACCACAGATGTTACAACCGATGTCACCAGCGGTGTTTAAACTGATGTTACCACCGTTGTTAGCACCGATGCTACCACCGATGTTACCACAGATCTTACCAGCGATGTAACCAGCGGTGTTACTAGCGATGTTACCAGTGATGTTTCCACCGATTTTACCACCGATGCTTCGACAGATGTAAGCACAGAAGATACTAGCGATGGTACCACCTATATTACCACATACGTTTCCACCGATGTTACCACCGCTATGACTACCAATGTTACAACCGATGTTACAAGCGGTGTTATCCCAGATATTACCAGCGAAGTTACCACCGATGTTACCACCGATGTTATCCCAGAAATTACCAGCGAAGTTACCAGCGATGTTACCACCGATTTTTCCACCGATGTGACCAACAATGTTTCCACCGATATTACCACCGATGTTTCCACCAATATTAAAAGCGATGTTTCAAGCGGTGATACCAGCGGTGTTACCAACGATGTTACCGGCGGTGTTTCCACCGATGTTACCACCAATGTTATCACCGCAAAGACCACCGATGTTACCACCGATGTTACCACCGATGTTACCACCGATGTTACCACCGATTTTGCCACCAATGTGGCCACCGATTTTTACACCGATATGACCAGCGATGTTTAAAGCGATGATACAAGGTGTTACCAGCGTTGTTACCAGCGGTGTTACCAGCGATGTAACACCGATTATACCACCGATGTCACCACCGATGTCACCACCGATGTGACCACCGATGAGACCACCGATGTTACCACCAATGTTACCACCCTTGTTACAACCGATGTTACCACAGATGTTTCCACCGATGTTACCACCGATATTACCACCGATGCTTCCACCGATGTTACCACCAATGTTTCAAGCGATATTACCAGCTGTGTTCCTAGCGATGTTAGCAGCGATGCTTCCACCGATGTTACCACCGATATTACCACCGATGCTTCCACCGATGTTACCACCAATGTTTCAAGCGATATTACCAGCTGTGTTCCTAGCGATGTTAGCAGCGATGCTACCACAGATGTTACAACCGATGTCACCAGCGGTGTTTAAACTGATGTTACCACCGTTGTTAGCACCGATGCTACCACCGATGTTACCACAGATCTTACCAGCGATGTAACCAGCGGTGTTACTAGCGATGTTACCAGTGATGTTTCCACCGATTTTACCACCGATGCTTCGACAGATGTAAGCACAGAAGATACTAGCGATGGTACCACCTATATTACCACATACGTTTCCACCGATGTTACCACCGCTATGACTACCAATGTTACAACCGATGTTACAAGCGGTGTTATCCCAGATATTACCAGCGAAGTTACCACCGATGTTACCACCGATGTTATCCCAGAAATTACCAGCGAAGTTACCAGCGATGTTACCACCGATTTTTCCACCGATGTGACCAACAATGTTTCCACCGATATTACCACCGATGTTTCCACCAATATTAAAAGCGATGTTTCAAGCGGTGATACCAGCGGTGTTACCAACGATGTTACCGGCGGTGTTTCCACCGATGTTACCACCAATGTTATCACCGCAAAGACCACCGATGTTACCACCGATGTTACCACCGATGTTACCACCGATGTTACCACCGATTTTGCCACCAATGTGGCCACCGATTTTTACACCGATATGACCAGCGATGTTTAAAGCGATGATACAAGGTGTTACCAGCGTTGTTACCAGCGGTGTTACCAGCGATGTAACACCGATTATACCACCGATGTCACCACCGATGTCACCACCGATGTGACCACCGATGAGACCACCGATGTTACCACCAATGTTACCACCCTTGTTACAACCGATGTTACCACAGATGTTTCCACCGATGTTACCAACGCTATGACCATCGATATTACAACCGATGTTACCACCGATGCTACCACCGATCATACCACATTTGTTTCCACCGATGTTACCACCGGTATGACCACCGATGTTACCACCGATGTTACCACCGCTATGACCACCGATGCTACCACCGATGTTAGAAGCGAAATTACAACAGATGTTACCACATATGTGACCACCGATGATACAACCGATATTACCACCGGTGTTACCACCTAGGTTACCACGGCTGTTACCACCGATGCTTCCACCGATGTTACCACCGATATTACCAGCTGTGTTATCAGCGATGTTACCAGCGATTTCTCCACCGATTTTAGCTCCGATCTTACCACCTATGTTTCCACCGATGCTACCACCGTTGATACCACCGTTGTTACCACCGATGTTACCACCGATGCTTCCACCGATGTTACCACCAATGTTTCAAGCGATATTACCAGCTGTGTTCCTAGCGATGTTACCAGCGATGCTACCACAAATGTTACAACCGATGTCACCAGCGGTGTTTCCACTGATGTTACCACCGTTGTTAGCACAAATGCTACTACCTATGTTACCACAGATCTTACCAGCGATGTTACCAGCGGTGTTACTAGCGATGTTACCAGTGATGTTTCTACCGATGTTACCACCAATGTGACAACCGATGTTACCACCAATGTTACCACCGATGTTACCACCGATGTTACCACCTAGGTTACCACCTAGGTTACCATCGAAGTTTCCATCGATGTTACCATCGATGTTACCAACGATTTTTCCACCGATGTGACCACCAATGTTTCCACCGATATTACCACCGATGTTACCACCAATATTAAAAGCGATGTTACAAGCGGTGATACCAGCGGTGTTACCAGCGATGTTACCGGCGGTGTTTTCACCGATGTTACCACAGATCATACAACTTATGTTTCCACCGATGTTACCACCGATGTTATCACCGCAATGACCACCGATGTTACCACCGATTTTGCCACCAATGTGGCCACCGATTTTTACACCGATATGACCATCGATGTTTAAAGCGATGATACAAGCGGTGTTACCAGCGGTGTTACCAGCGATGTTACCGGCGGTGTTTTCACCGATGTTACCACCGATCATACAACTTATGTTTCCACCGATGTTACCACCGATGTTATCACCGCAATGACCACCCTTGTTACAACCGATGTTACCACAGATGTTTCCACCGATGTTACCACCCGCGTTACCACCAATGCTTCCACCGATGTTACCATCGATGATGCCTTCGGTGTAGCCACAGATGATATCAGCAATCGGTTACCACCGATGTTACCACCGATGTTACCACCGATGTTACCACCAATATTACCAGCAATGTTACCACCGATGTAACCAGCGGTGTTACCAGCGATGTGACCACCGATGTTACCACCGATATTATAATCAATGTTATAAGCGCTGATATCAGCGGTGTTACCAGCGATGTAACCAGCGATGTTTTCACCGATGCTACCACCGTTTATACCACCTATGTTTCCAGCAATGTTACCACCTATATTACTACCGATATGACCACCGATGTTACCACCGATGCTTCTAGTGATAATAAAAACTGTGTTATCAGCGGTTTTACCAGCTATGATACCACCGATTTCCCCACCGATGTTCCCACCGATCACACCACATTTGTGTCCACCGATGTTACCACCGCTATGACCACCGATGTTACCACTGATGTTACCACCGATGCTACCACCGATTCTACCACCGATGTTAGAAGCGAAATTACAACAGATGTTACCACATATGTGACCACCGATGATACAACCGATATTACCACCGACGTTACCACCGTTGTTAGCACCGATGCTACCACCGATGTTACCAGCGATGTTACCAGCGGTGTTACTAGCGATGTTACCAGTGATGTTTCCACCGATGTTACCACCAATGTGACAACCGATGCTACCACCAATGTTACCACCAATGTTACCACCGATGTTACCACCGATGTTACTACCGTTGTTACCACGGATGTTACCACCGACTCTACCACCGATGTAAGAAGCGAAATTACAACCGATGTTACCACCTAGGTTACCACCGAAGTTACCACCCGCGATACCACCAATGCTTCCACCGATGTTACCATCGATGATACCTCCGATGTCACCACCCTTGTTACCACCGATGTTACCTCCGATGTCACCACCCTTGTTACCACCGATGTTACCACAGATGTTTCCACCGATGTTACCACCCGCGATACCACCAATGCTTCCACCGATGTTACCATCGATGATACCTTCGGTGTAGCCACAGATGTTACCAGCTATCGCTTACCACCAATGTTACCACCGATATTACCAAGAATATAAACAGCAATGTTACCACCGATGTTACCAGCGGTGTTACCAGCGATGTGACCACCGATGTTACCACCGATATTACAATCAATGTTACAAGCGATGATATCAGCGGTGTTATCAGCGATGTAACCAGCGATGTTATCACCGATGTTACCAACGTTCATACCACCTATGTTTCCAGCGATGTTACCACCGATATTACTACCGATATGACCACAGATGTTACCACCGATGTTTGAAGCGATGATAAAAACGGTGTTAACAGCGGTGTTTCCAGCTATGACAACACCGATTTCCCCACCGATCTTACCACCGATTTTTCCACCAATGTGGCCACCGATATTACCATCGATGTTTAAAGCGATGTTACAAGCGGTGTTACCAGCGGTGTTACCAGCGATGTTACCAGCGATGTTACCAGCGATGTTACCAGCGATGTTTTCACCGATCATACCACCTATGTTTCCACCGATGTTACCAGCTATGTTACCACCGATGTTACAACGGATGTTACCACCGATGCTTCCACAGATGTTACCACCATTGTTACCACCCGCGTTTCTACCGATGTTACCACCGATGTTACCACCGAAGTTACCACAGATGTAAAGACCGATGTAGCCACCGATGTTACCACCGATGTTACCACCGATGTAATCACCGATGTAACCACTGAAGTTACCACCAATGCTTACACCGATATTTCCACCGATGTCACCACCGATGTCACCACCGATGTAACAACCGATGTTACCAGCGATCTTACCAGCGGCGTTACCAGCGATGTTACCACCGATTTTGCCACCGATGTGACCACCGATGTTGCCACCGATGTTACTACCGGTGTTACCACCAGTTAACCACCGATGTTTCCACCGATGTTTCCACCGATGTTACCACCGATATTACCACCGATGCTTCCACCGATGTTACCACCAATGTTTCAAGCGATATTACCAGCTGTGTTCCTAGCGATGTTTGCAGCGATGCTACCACAGATGTTACAACCGATGTCACCAGCGGTGTTTAAACTGATGTTACCACCGTTGTTAGCACCGATGCTACCACCGATGTTACCACAGATCTTACCAGCGATGTAACCAGCGGTGTTACTAGCGATGTTACCAGTGATGTTTCCACCGATTTTACCACCGATGCTTCGACAGATGTAAGCACAGAAGATACTAGCGATGGTACCACCTATGTTACCACATACGTTTCCACCGATGTTACCACCGATGTTACCACCGCTATGACCACCAATGTTACAACCGATGTTACAAGCGGTGTTATCCCAGATATTACCAGCGAAGTTACCATCGATGTTACCACCGATGTTATCCCAGATATTACCAGCGATGTTACCACCGATTTTACCACCGATGCTTTGACAGATGTAACCACAGAAGTTACTAGCGATGGTACTAGCGATGGTACCACCGATGTTACCAACAATGTTACCACCAATGTTACCACCAATGTTACCACCAATGTTACCACCAATGTTACCACCGATGTTACCACCTAGGTTACCAACGATGTTTCCACCGATGTTACCATCGATCATACCACATATGTTTCTACCGATATTACCAACGCTATGACCACCGATATTACAACCGATGTTACCATCGATGCTACCACCGATCATACCACATTTGTTTCCACCGATGTTTCCACCGATGTTACCACCGCTATGACCACCGATGTTACCACGGATGTTACCACCGATGCTTCCACCGATGTTACCACCGATATTACCAGCTGTGTTATCAGCGATGTTACCATCGATTTCTCCACCGATTTTAGCTCCGATCTTACCACCTATGTTTCCACCGATGCTACCACCGTTGATACCACCGTTGTTACCACCGATGCTTCCACCGATGTTACCACCAATGTTTCAAGCGATATTACCAGCTGTGTTCCTAGCGATGTTACCAGCGATGCTACCACAGATGTTACAACCGATGTCACCAACGGTGTTTCCACTGATGTTACCACCGTTGTTAGCACCGATGCTACTACCTATGTTACCACAGATCTTACCAGCGACGTTACCAGCGGTGTTACTAGCGATGTTACCAGTGATGTTTCCACCGATGTTACCACCAATGTGACAACCGATGTTACCACCAATGTTACCACCGATGTTACCACCTAGGTTACCATCGAAGTTTCCATCGATGTTACCATCGATGTTACCAACGATTTTTCCACCTATGTGACCACCAATGTTTCCACCGATATTATCACCGATGTTACCACCAATATTAAAAGCGATGTTACAAGCGATGATACCAGCGGTGTTACCAGCGATGTTACCGGCGGTGTTTTTACCGATGTTAACACCGATCATACGACTTATGTTTCCACCGATGTTATCACCGCAATGACCACCGATGTCACCACCGATGTGACCACCCATGAGATCACCGATGTTACCACCAATGTTACCACCCTTGTTACTACCGATGTTGACACAGATGTTTCCACCGATGTTACCACCCGCGTTACCACCAATGCTTCCACTGATGTTACCAGCGATGTTACCACCGATGCTTCCACCGATTTTCGCTCCGATGTTACCACCGTTGTTACCTCCTGTTTGTAGGGGGCTATCCTGCCGCTAAAGATCCTGGAAATGTAGCCCAAGTGAAAATTCCCACGCAAGCGAAGGTGATGAGTAAGGCGGGGGCGTCGTGGGCAATTCAAAAATCGTCAGCTTTATTGCACTGCATACATGGTACTAAATAGCTTAAATGTAAGGGCTGCTCTCCCGACCGATAAGCTACGCTTAACAGTGCGAGAGCGGGCCCGAGAAGTGGAGCGCGAACTAGCCGAGCGAAGCTCGGGAACTCGGGAGCGGGCGTTCGCGAACATCGAAGAGTGGGCGCGGGAGCGCTTAGACTAGCCCGATGAGCAGTGCGCGAAGAGCCGACTTGCGGGAGAGCAAGAGCGGCCAAAGCTTTGGCGGCTCAGTGGACAGAGGTGGCGCCGCGGCCGCCACGAAGGGCCTTCTGACGTGAACACCTCCGATGTTACCACCAATGTGAAAACCGATGTTACCACCGATATTTCCAGTGGTGTTAAGACCGATATTAAGAGCGATGTTACCAACGATGTTACCAGCGGTGTTACCACCGATATTTCCAGCGGTGTTAAGACCGCTGTGAGCACCGATATTACCAGCGATATAACCAGCGATGTTACCAACGATGTTACCAACGGTGTTACCACCGATACTTCCAGCGGTGTTAAGACCGATATTAATAGCGATGTTACCAACGATGTTACCAGCGGTGTTACCACCGATATTTCCAGCGGTGTTAAGACCGATATTAAAAGCGATGTTATCATTGATGCTTCCACCGATGTTACCACCGATATTACCAGCGGTGTTACCAACGATATTACCAGCGGTGTTACCAGCGATGCTACAAGAGGTGTTACAACCGATCATTAAAACGATGTTACCACCGATGATACGACCGATGTTACCAACGATGTTACTACCGATGTGACCACCGATAATACAACCGATGTTGCCACCGATGTTAACAACAAGGTTACCAAAGATGGTACCAGCGATGGTACCACCTTTGTAACCACCTATGGAACTTTTGATGTTACCACCGATGTTACCACCAATGTAACCACCGCTGTGAGCACCGATATTACCAGCAAAATAACCAGCGAAGTTAACAGCGATGTTACCACCGATTTTACCACCGATGTTACCACAGATGTAAACAGCGATGTTACCACCGATTCCTCCACCGATTTAGCTCCGATCTTACCACCTATGTTTCCACCGATGTTACCACAGATGTTACCGCTGTTGTTACCAACGATGTTAAAATCAATGTGAAAACCTATGTTACTACCGATATTACCAGCGGTGTTACCACCGATGTTACCAGCGATGTTACCAACGGTATAACTAGCGATGTTACCAGCGATGCTTCCACCGATGTTACCACCAATGTGACAACAGATGTTACCACCGATGTTACCACAGATGTTACTACCGATGTCACCACCGGTGTTTCCACTGATGTTACCACCGTTGTTACCACCGATGCTACCACCAATGGTACAACAGATATTACCAGCGAAGTTACAAGCGGTGTTACTAGCGATTTTACAAGCGATGTTTCCACCGATGTTACCACCAATTTGACAACCGATGTTACTACCGATGTTACCAGCGATGTTACCACCGATGTGTCCACCGATATTTCCAGCGATATAACCAGCGAAGTTAACAGCGATGTTACCACCGATTTTACCACCGATGCTACCACCGATGTTACCACCGATGTGACTACCGATGTTACCACCGATGTGACCACCGATGTGACCACCGATGTGACCACCGATGTTACCACCGATGTTACCCATGATGCTTCCACCGATGTTACCACCGATGCTTCCACCGATGCTACCACCGATGTGACCAACAATGTTACCACCGATATTACCAACGATATTACCAGCGATGTTACCAGCGGTGTTTCCACCGATGTTACCACCAATGTGACAATAGATGTTACCACCGATGTTACCAGCGATGTTACCATCGATGTGACCAACGTTGTGACTAGCGGTGTTACCAGTGATATTACCAGCGGTGTTAACACCGATATTAAAAGCGATGTTACCAACGATGTTACCAGTCGTGTTACCACCGATGTTACCGCCGTTGTTACCACGGATGTACTAGCGATTTAACCAGCGATGTTACCAACGATGTTACCAGCGGTGTTACCAGCGATGTTACCACCTATGTTACCACCAATGTTACCACCAATGTTACCACCGATGTTACCACCGATGTTACCACCGATGTTACCACCGATTCCTCCACAGATTTTAGCTCCGATCTTACCACCTATGTTTCCACCGATGTTACCACAGATGTTACCGCTGTTGTTACCAACGATGTTAAAATCAATAAGAAAACCTATGTTACTACCGATATTACCAGCGGTGTTACCACCAATGTTACCAGCGATGTTACCAACGGTATAACTAGCGATGTTACCAGCGATGCTTCCACCGATGTTACCACCAATGTGACAACAGATGTTACCACCGATGTTACCACAGATGTTACTACCGATGTCACCACCGGTGTTTCCACTGATGTTACCACCGTTGTTACCACCGATGCTACCACCAATGGTACAACAGATATTACTAGCGAAGTTACCAGCGGTGTTACTAGCGATTTTACAAGCGATGTTTCCACCGATGTTACCACCAACTTGACAACCGATGTTACTACCGATGTTACCAGCGATGTTACCACCGATGTGTCCACCGATATTTCCAGCGATATAACCAGCGAAGTTAACAGCGATGTTAACACCGATTTTACCACCGATGCTACCACCGATGTTACCACCGATGTGACCACCGATGTTACCACCGATGTGACCACCGATGTTACCACCGATGTTACCCATGATGCTTCCACCTATGTTACCACCGATGCTTCCACCGATGCTACCACCGATGTGACCAACAATGTTACCACCGATATTACCAACGATATTACCAGCGATTTCTCCACCGATTTTAGCTCCGATCTTACCACCTATGTTTCCACCGATGTAACCACCGATTTACCACCGTTGTTACCACCGATGTTACCACTGATGCTTCCATTGATGTTACCACCGATATTACCAGCGGTGATTTCAGCGATGTTACCAGCGATGATACCACCGATCTTACCACCGATGTTTCCACTAATGCTTCCACCGATGTTACCACCGTTGTTTCAAGCGATATTACCAACTGTGTTACCATTGATGTTACCTGCGATGCTACCAACATCGGTGATGCTACCAACTACCGATGTTACCACCGGTGATTCCACTGATGTTACCACCGATGTTACCACCGCTGCTACCACCGATGTTACCACAGATGTTACCAGCGATGTTACCAGCGGTATTACTAGCGATTTACCACCGGTTTAGCCACAGATGTTACCAGCGATCGTAAAACCGATGTTACTAGCGAAACTACCAGCGATGTGATCCTCGTTATTACCAGAGGTGTTAACACCAATATTAAAAGCGATGTTACCAACGATGTTACCAACGAAGTTACCAGCGGTGTTACCAGCGGTGTTACCAGCGATGTTAACAACGATGTTACCACCGATCATACCAACGATGTTACCACCGAAGATACTACCGATGTTACCACCGATGTGACCACAGATGGTACAACCGATGTTGCCACCGATGTTACCGCCGATGTGACCACCGATATTACCAGCTATATAACCAGCGATGTTACCAACGATGTTACCAGCGATGTTACCAGCGATGTTTCCACTGATGTTACCATTGATCTTACCATCTATGATTCCACCCATGTTACCACCAATGTCACCACCAATGTTACCAGCGCTGTTATAACCGATGTGACCACCAATGATAGCACCGTTGTTACCAAAGATGTTACCAAAATTGATACCATCGATGGTACCACTGATGTTGCCACCTATATTTCCAACGATGTTACCACCGATGTGACCTCCGATGTTACCACCGATATTAACACCGATGTTACCAGCGAAGCTTCTACCAATGTTACCACCGATGCTTCCATCGATGCTTCCACCGATGCTACCACTGATGTGACCATCATTGTTACCACCGATATTACCAGCGATTTTTCCACCGATGTTACCACTGATCTTACTACCGATGTTGCCACCGATGCTTCCACCGATGTTACCACCGATATGACCAGCGATGCTACCGGCGATGCTACCACCGATCTTACCACCGATGCTTCCATCGATGCTTCCACCGATGCTACCACTGATGTGACCATCATTGTT